TGTATTATTTTCCAAAAGGACTTTTAACCAACGAATTTATATTTTAACTTTTAACTGTGATTTGTTTTGTTACATTTAAAATTTTATAGCAAATTTATAAAGAGTTTGACATAATTATTAATGAGAGATGTAATTTTTAAATGATATACTCTCTAGTTTATGTATATACGGATACCGGAAATCCACAATCATATGGCAAATTAAACTGATTTATTGAATAGGATAGTAATAGTACATATAATACAATATCATACTACTATTACAGATACCCAATCTCATACAAAGAAACGTGGCACTCATAAATCCGCTTATTCAGAAGCTTATTTTGATTCTTAACGTTGTTCAATAGATGGTACCAAGTAAACCCCCCAACTAACATTTTGGTTATAAGAATGAGTGCTACATGAGCTGTTAAAGACAATATTAAGAACCTAAGTTTCTATAAAGGCACTTACAATTGGTTATTTAGCGCGCTGTAACACTAATATAACCCTGATTTGGGCCCACGATTTTAGAGCTTAAAGTAACTTAATGGTTATAGAATAGTGACAATAAGTGATAATAAAGAGTAACAATAGTGCTATTGAAGTAGTGATTGCCACTTTAAGTGTTTTGTAACCAATACATAAGTTACAACCGCAAGCTAAACTAGTATATAATTTATGAAGTCCATTCTTTTAACTTATTTAGTAACACAACAGTGCTTCCTCGATACAATACATACCTTAAGAAGATATCGTGGTATTTAGTGGTAATAAACATCACCCAAAGCGCTAACTATTTCATATATTTTCATAATATTGAGTTTTTGTTACGGTCAATAGCGAAGGTACGTATATTCACGTTCGATATAGCGAAGTGAATATTTGAAAGTATGTAATACAATAGGCAAGTCATTGATATGTGTTTTGGATTATTGGTGGTATAATTATAAAATCTTACCACAGTGGTAACTTTTCTACAATAATATATATTAGTTGTAATCATTAATACAAAGATCGAAAACTCAGAAAAAATTCCTTCGATCCGGTCGGATTCGACCCGACGCATTCTTGCATACCGTGCCAGACGCTATACCAACTAAGCCACGGAACGAACCAACGGACCCAAAGAATTCTTCTATGTATTTGCGTCGTGTCTTTGTATTTGGTTTTTCAACGACTTTTTAGTCGTAGCGCCATCTATTAGAAATCTATGAAAGATTTATCACCCAGATAGTAACTTTACAGCTACTAGTCCTGGCGAGAGATGTCGCTATTAACTGTACACTTTGAAAATTTTTGAGGTTATGTTTATTTAATGGCTTCCATTCTGAATAACTTTAGGTAACTCTGATATTATATTGTACATGACATTCAGCACTTTCGTGCCACTGGTAGTTCTACAATATCGGTATATAAGTGAAAAGAAAACTGCTTTATAAATTTATCTGGCATAATGGTGCCATGTGAAGCCGTAAACTGTTAACATTGATCTAATCTTATTAGAGAGCATATTTTCTCTTGATACCGCCAGTCCTTTTTTCACTTTCTGTGGTGCATGGTCGAAACTAAAATATTTTTTAATAATCCCATTGCACAGTGTTAACCATACGTAATAAAATATTATTTGAGGTTAAATTATAGTATGGCGTATTTAAGTGATTTTAATTCTATACGGCAACTTAAAGCGATAATTAATGGTTATTGTAGTGTGTTGACATAATGTACCATAGACAATAGTCAATATATGTCACGTCGCGTGAGCGGGCGTGTATCGCAGGTGTACGTGAAGCAAAAAACGTTGTTTTATTGAGCTAACCCCTAACAAACGCCACATTGGCGCCCCTGCCAAAGAACGTGAGTAAAATTAATAATATTTCACGGTGTAGTCGCGTTATCAGCTTTGTTCCAATTTTGTTTCAAAAGAAATGGAGATTTGTACCACGTATTCAAATAATTAGAATCCATTTCATTAAAGCATATAAATATAATATCTGCATATTGGATGTATGTGTTATGATTTCAAGTGATTTAAGTCTATTTAGGTAACATATATACAAACATATTATCCGTATATCACCGTGTACTACATCCGTGTCATATTCTATTAGCTCCAGAAAAGATACAAACAAACTGACACCGTTGGCGGAACTAGTAAAAATACAAGTGCCTACTAATACTCACCAAAATAAATATTCTAGCTGTTGTGTAGTCAGTACTGCCTTTACTGAAATTGCTGACTTGCATTGTAAATTAAATCATTTTAAGAACTACAAATTACCATGTTT